AAAGAAAGAAAGAAAGAAAGAAAAAAGAAAAAAAGAAAGAAAGAAAGAAAGAAAGAAAGAAAGAAAGAAAGAAAAAAAGAAAAAAGGAAAGAAAAGAAAGAAGCCACCTCATGAATCCTCATGAATCCTTGTGTCTCTGATATTCTTATCAAAATGCAGGACATCTTCATTACTATAGCCAGAGCTGGCTTTTTAAAATACACATTTGACTGTGTCCCTCCAGAGCTTAGGGATGTCTTATAATTCCTCTATTTTTAAAGGAACTGTGTCTATGCTCTTGAACATGAAACACAAAGAATCTCACACATGAGCCCCATGGTGCGCCCTGCCCTGTAGACACTCCCCACACCCACGCTGCATTTCGACCCCGCTCTGCCAGCTTGGTTCACTCCGATATTACCCCACCCTCTCCTCCTCCTCCACTGAGAACCCTGAATCTGGGAGAAAGCTTTGGGCTGCAAGTGACAGAAAGCCTGACTCCAAACAGCTCCAACAGGAAGAGGTTTGTTGTCTCACTTAAGAAAATGAGGCCATTCCATGGTTAATTTAATGCTACCAAGTAAGCCATGCAAGAACTGCGTTCATTGCAAGTCTCTGTTTCGTCATCTTCAGTGTAGCTTTTGTCCCCATCATGGACAGAATTGTTTACCCAGGCTCATGTCTATATTAATGAATCAGTCAGGGTTTTCCAGAGAAACAGAACCAATAGAATGTGTGTGTGTCTGTGTGTAGAGAGAGAGATTTATTTTAAGGAACTGGCTCATTTCATTGTGGAGACTGACAAATCTGTAATTTGCAGAGAAGGGTGGCAGATTGGAGACCCAGAGAGGAGTTGATGTTGCAGTTTGAGGCCAAAAGGTTCTGGAAGCACATTCCCTCTTCCTTGAGGAACCTCAGTCTTTCTCTCAAAGCCTTCAACTGATTGGATGAGGCCCACCGACATTAGGGAGGGTAATCTGCTTTACCTAAGCTCCACTGCTGTAAATGGTAATCTCATCTAAAAAAAATTCACAGTGGGGCGCCTGGGTGGCTCAGTTGGTTAAGCGTCTGACTCTCCATCTCAGCTCAGCTCTTGATCTCAGGGTCATGAATTCAGGCCCCACTTTGGGCTCCATGCTAGGGATGGAGTCTACTTTAAAAAAAATGTATCTTCACCAAAACATCTAGAATAGTGTTTGACCAAATATCTTGGTATTGTTGACAAGCCAATTTGACACATGAAATTAGCCATCATGATGTCTAAATCAATCACTCTCAAGAAAGAGATTGAAATCACCATTAGCGGGGTAGATATTAATCAAAAGTAACTTTCTGGGGCTGGAAAAGGACTCCTCTGAGCACATGGCTGTGTGGTGGGTGAACATAAATAAAATCAGGGTTCTGCCTGCAAAGCAGGCTGTAGTTAAGGGTGAGGTTGGATGAAAGTGCGGATTTGAGCAGGAAAACAACAAAGTCTGCTAATCAACAGGCAGGCAGAATCACAATCCTTTATGGATTCCTTTACATATTCCATAAACCCTACTAGAGCCCTTGTTATACTGAGTCATGGGTTTGCAGCTCATCTTCCTCTTTAGATGGTGGGTGTACCCTTGAATAAGAACCATGTATCAGTTACCTCTTTATCAACAGCCCCATGCATGGTGCTCAGGATCAGGTGGTTACTCCATAGGTGCTTTGAACTGACCAAAGTGGATTATTCTGGTGCTAAATCAACCTTGTGCTTGCCATTGCTAGAGAAATCATATATTTCTATGCACCACAAGCTTTGTTGAAATCACAGATTCACAACTGTTATGCCAACTGTTTTCTAGATATTCCTGCAGAGAACCTATGAGGCAATAAAACTTGCCCAAATAGTCTAGTCATACAAAGTTCTCTTCTTTTTCATACATCCATAACATGAAGAAAATCCCAGTGGCAAAGCAAAGAACACTCTCGACCTTATACTCAGCAATGATAATAAGAGATAAAGGGTCCACCATTTGCCCTAAGCACCAACTCAGACAAAGTAGGTCATTTGGAGTGTGTCAGATACTACAGCCTCAGGTCCAATTACTTAATTCAGAAATTCTCATGACTCTTATCTTTAACAGAGTGGAGTGCCCCAAAGTTTAAGAAGTAAAATCATCAGATACCAGTCTTCTTTTCCAGGAAGCCAAAGGACTTTGGGACCATTAGATGCAGAGGATGATAAAGTCACTTCTCAGTTGGCCACTGTGTAGAGACCAGTTGAGCTCAACAATCCAAGGAACAATACTAAGCATCTTCCATGTTCTATGCATCATGAGAGACCCTCACTTGCATTACTATGTTTCCAGTTTATAGCTCTCTGCTTTTTCCGAAGCAGAGAAGTATCAACTTTCCAATTACATTGCTATTGATAAAATAATAATAGTTACACCCAGAACAACTGACATGTACTCACACCATGCCTCAGACATTACCATAAGCACCTTATCTTGCATTATATAATTTAATCCTCACAAAACCTCATGAGGCTAACTGGGTCCTTATCTCCATTTTAACAGATGAATAACCCAAGGATCTGAGAGGAGGTAGGCAATTTGCTGACAGAACCACCAGTAGGAAGCCAAAGACCCAGACTCAACGCCAGGTGTGTCCGACTTGAGTTCACACTGCATGTTTTATACATATTATCTTCTATAAAGCTGGAAATGAGGAAAAGTTCAGCTTTTTTAAATCAACACACAAAAGGAAAGATAAAACTTTCCTGTGGCTGTCTCAGAAGCAACAACCAAATCAAAAGAGGGCTTTGAACATGTGTAAAGAAGGGATGTGCCAACAGAGGGGAAAACATCAAAAATAAAATGTGGAGCAGAAAAGCAAAATTTTGCAGGGCTTATTCAGTATTATCCATGAGCACTTCAGTCACTACAGAGGATACTGGAGGATATTATTAGTTTGGCAAGACTCATTATAACCTGGAGGGAATGCCCTTTGTTGCTTTAATTCCATAATCGCAAAGCACAAGCATATAATTATAAATACAATTTCTGGGATGCCTTGAATATGAGAAGCAGATTCCTCAGAAAAACCATAAGCACTCGATCCATTGGCAAGGGATGTCCCCAGTTGTCAAGGATAAAATGCCATGTATCTAGATCAGGCCACATGAATATAGCTTGTGTCGATTAAGTTCTTAAAAGATTATTATTAGAAACCTGATCATTTCTGGGTGAATTAATCAAGACCAGTTTCTATGCCCACTGGGCCAAGGAATAAATGTGCCATACTAAATTTGTACAGTTAATAATCTCAATTTATGAGGCTATTTGGCAGTCAGCTGGCTTTTTTGTGGGTCACCCACCTCTCCCTCACCAAGCTGCTTTCCTCCTACTGGAAAGCCCCAAGAGCATGGGTTAATTACCGTCCCACGGTACAACTGAGAAAGTGATGCTCAGAGGGGTTTAGTAACTTGTGGCGCTCTGCACAGTTGACATCAGGAACTCCACAGAAGAACCAGAACACAGGAGACAGCAGCCAAGAATGAACCATGTGAGCTGGGGACACTGCTCTTCCCACCTGCCGCCAACTACAAAGATCTCCACCGACACATGAAGCCCTCTGTGCTTAGCGCCCAAATGGGGAACTCCATATCGACTCCTCTCAAGAACTGCATTTCTTCCCTTCCCACATCTAGGCAGTTAAAAATACTTTGAAATATCTCACCCACCTTTCTGTCCATCCTTCTCCTTAACATTCTTGCTCTTTCTCTTGCCTCTCTCCCAACTAAAGTCTGATACAGCAGAATGAGGAGGACTGTGATTAAGGTGAGAGTGGTGGGGGACCACAGGGACTCCCACCTTCCTTTGACACTAAAGCCATGGTATGTTTCTGGCTCTAATTTGTCTTCAGTTCTCTCCCCACTCATGCTGACAGCATCCACTCCGGCCATTATTTTTAGCCCACGCTTGGCCCAATCTGCTAAGTCCTGACCACAGATGGTACTAAAGTGACATCAGTGACAGCATGCATCCCAGCAAGACTCACTGTCATGGTCAGCCTTTCCAGACTTCCTGTTTCATTAATATTAAAAAAAAAAAAAGGCTCTTTCTCGCTTAACCAAATTACAACAGACGGAGCTTCAACCCTCCGTCCTCCGCAGCCCTCTCCCTGGCAGAACCACCCAAGGGAAAGGCCTAGGGTTGTAGGCTCCCATGGAGAAAGGGGGTCCTGGTGGAACTGCCACTCTTGAACAAACGTCCCCTTGACAGAAAAGTCTTATTCCCACTGTGTACGAGAGATGCCGCTGCTCCTTGCACCTCCCTTGGCATGCAGCAAATGCAAAATTTATTTCATTCAAATTCTTTCCTTAAAAAAAAATAAAAGAACAAGAATAAATGTGTATTTACCTGGAACAAAGCTTCCCTGGACCACCTCCTTGTACGCCCACCAGCCTTCATGGATTTTTGGTGAATTCTGTTGAGCTGTAGGGGGAAAAAAAGGAAGAGACACTGAGAGGCTAGTGGAGGATCCCTGTGTCCTGGCTGGGAAGAAGGGTGAATACACATACAATAATCCTCTTCTACCCACAAGGCATCCTACAAAATGCAGCACCTACCCTCCTTTTCCTTTTTTTTTTTTTTTACAATATACTGTCATCGTGTTTTTATATTAAAAAAAAGCACTCAGGAGATTTCTATGCAAGGGAAATAGACAATAATTATGTATTTAAGCCTATCTGAATTCCCCTGTCACTTGTCTCTACCTCTGACTCACCTCTTTTCTGCACCTACCCCCGTACACGTGCGTGCGTGTGCACGCACGCGCGCGCGCACGCACACACACACACGCACACACACGCACACGCACCCTCCACTGGGATTGAGGAGAGGAAGCTGATCCCAGCCATGAGCCAGACAAGAACTCTACACGTGCACAAACCCCTTAGGAATGGAAAAGAGGTAGGGCATTTGCTAAAAGGGCTGGGCTAGAAGAGGGAAGGGCTTTCTTCAGGCCCCGGGAAAATGAAAACAAGAATATAAATCATCATGGTGAGAGCTTCTGTCGTCATAGGGAGAAAAAGTGGAAAGCCCAAGAAATTGGGACACAGCATAGGGATCTGTGAGCTCATACTGACAGGACCTCAGGATAAGCCTTGACCTTTATGGCAGTTGGTGGGCGATCTGGGGTGATTCTATTATATGTGGGTGTCCGCTCCAAAGTGCAGGCGGCACATGCACTTATGTGGATGCCTGAACTGCATTCACATCTCAGCTGTCAGTCACGCTGGAAGAAAATAAGGTAATTTCAACCATATCTGTAATTTGGCGAGTACATAGCAAACGTTAAACCTTGACATTCATTGCCTTTCTTTATATCTTGTTCTTTTTTCAGTCTCCTTCAGATGCATCATTCGGGGTTAGAGAACATGGTCCAAGACAATGCGTTTGAAAGCACAGCTTTGCATAGGGAGGATTTGCCAAATTCTTTTGGCTTCCCTATGAGCTTCAATCGCTTAGCTCCAAGTGTCTCCCCATAGTAGAGAGAAGATACTTTTTCTGAATATGACATTAAGCCTGCTGAGGCTTGCAGTTCTGTGATGAAGAATGGTTTATGACACAGGACGAGTGAAAGAGAAGCCCACTCCTTCTGGAGATGACAGTGGGGGTTGAGGTATTTAGACACAAATAGAAGAGGGACAAAGAACCTACTTAAGGATCTGGAAAGATATCACCTTTCAAGTTGCCCAGCACAAGTCTAGGGCTTGGGATGAGTCAAAGGACACTGGGTTACCCAGTACCCCATTTCCATGTGGAATGGACAGAGCTCCCACAGCCCTTGAGAAAGATCCTAAAGGCAGCTGAGTGAAAGGCCAGTTCACCTGTTCTGGGGCAGCAGGCAAAGGGAGAAGTGGCCTCAACACAGAGGCTGGAGAGACTTTGTCCAGCCAGGGAGCCAAGTGGAAGAGTCAACAGACTCCTGGTATTTGTGGTACTAGGGAAAGACAAGGAGATTTGAAATCAGCTAGGAATTCTTTATGCCTGACCAAGTTAAGAAACCAGATCAAGAGTTATATAGTTGGGAAGTTTACCAAGTAGGTGGACAAAGGACATTTCTCTGGTTCAGAACAATTCTGATGCTTCCTCTGAGCCTTGATATTGCACGATCCACCTTCCCCCTCCTTCCCAGATCATTGGAGGGTCGTCATAGGACAAAGAGGAGAATGACAAAGGTTTAGAAGTCTGTGAGATCAGATTCGCCTAATGCACTCAGACCCAGTGGCCCATTTTTTTTTTTAAAGATTTTATTTATTCATTTTAGAGAGAGAGAGAGAGAGAGAAAGAGGGGGGAGAGGCAGAGGGAAAGAGAGAATCTCAAGCCGACTCTGCACTTAGCGTGGAGCCCAACGTGGGGCTTGATCCTGGGACCCTGAGATCATGACCTGGGCTGAAAAGAGGCAGATGCCTAACTGACTGAGCCACCCAGGCACCCCTACAGTGGCTCATTTTGAAACATTTTGTAATGCTCACCTTGATGATAATTAAATAAAACTCATAGGCAGTACATCCTACAAAAAAAACCAAATAAACAAACAAACAACTCTGATATTTCACTAAACTTCAGCCTAACTCTGCTGGACATGAAACATGTTCCAAGTGTGGAAGAGATACACATATCTGAAAGCCCAAAAGTATTGAACTGCAGATACCCCTTAACATCTTTGCATTAGAGATAAGCCAGGATTGATTTTCCTTATCAAAGACAGGAATTTTTGAGTTTTATTGAAACTCACAAAATTGACTGTCTTGAACAATTTAAATCATAAATATGGCCTTCTTTCTTTATTCCCAGGGGTACTTGGGAAAGCCATGTTCTCTTTTTTTTCTAATTTTATTTTATTTAAATTCAATTAACATATAGTGTATTATTAGTTTCAGAGGTAGAGTTCAGTGATTCATCAGTCTTAAATAACACCCAGCGCTCATTACATCATGTGCCTTCCTTAATGCCCATAACCCAGTTACCCCACACCCCCCAACAACCGTCAGTTTGTTTCCTATGATTAAAGTCTCTTATGGTTTGACTCCCTCTCTGATTTTGTCTTATTTTACTTTTCCCTCACTTCCCCTATGATCCTCTGTTGTTTCTTAAATTCCACATATGAGTGAAATCATATAACTGGCTTTCTCTGATTGATTTATTTCACTTAGCATAATACCCTCTAGTTCCATCCATGTCATTGCAAATGGTAAGGTTTCATTTTTTAATGGCAGAGTAATATTCCATTATATATACATACCACATCTTTTTTATCCATTCATCTGTTGATGGACATCTAGGCTCTTTTCATAGTCTGGCTATTGTGGACACTGCTGCTATAAAGGGGTGCAGGCACCCCTTCAGATCACTACATTTGTATCTTTTGGGTAAATACCTAGTAGTGCAATTACTGGGTCATAGGGTAGTCCTATTTTTAACTTTTTGAAGAACCTCCATAATGTTTTCCAGAGTGGCTGCACCAGCTTGCATTCCCACCAGCAATGTAAGAGGGTTCCCCTTTCTCCACATCCTCACCAACATTTGCTGTTTCCTGACTTGTTAATTTTAGCCATTCTGACTGGTGTAGGGTGGTATCTCATTGCACCAAAAACCGTAAGATACCTAGGAATAAACCTAACCAAAGAGGTAAAAGATCTGTACTCTGAAAACTATAAAACACTTATGAAAGAAATTGAGAAAGACACAAAGAGATGGAAAAATGTTCCATGCTCATGGATCGGAAGAACAAATATTGTTAAAACGTCTATGCTACCCAGAGCAATCTACACATTCAATGCAATCCGTATCAAAATACCACCAACAGGGGCGCCTGGGTGGCTCAGTTGGTTAAGTGTTTGCCTTCGGCTCCAGTCATGATCCCAGTGTCCTGGGATCAAGCCCTGCAACAGGCTCCCTGCTCAGTGGAGAGCCTGCTTCTCCCTCTCCCTCTGCTGTTCCCCTGGTTGTTGTCTCTCTCTGTCAGAAAAATAAAATCTTTTAAATTAAAAAAAAAAAAATACCACCAACATTTTTCAAAGAGCTGGAACGAATAATCCTAAAATTTGTATGGAACCAGAAAAGACTTAGAATAGCCAAAGAAATGTTGAAAAAGAAAACCAAGCTGGTGGCATCACAATTCCAGACTTCAAGCTCAATTACAAAGCTCTAATCATCAGAAAAAGTATGGTACTGGCACAAAAACAGACACATAGATCAATCAAACAGAATAGAGAACCCAAAAATGTACCCTCAACTCTATGGTCAACTGATCTTCGACAAAGCAGGGAAGAACGTCAAGGGAAAAAAGACAGTCTCTTCAACAAATGGTCCTGGGGAAATTGGACAGCCATATGCAGAAGAACGAAACTGGACCATTTTCTTACACCACACAGAAAGATAAACTAAAAATGGCTGTAAGACCTAAATGTGATAAAGGAATGCATTAAAACCCTAGAGGAGAATGCAGTCAGTAACCTCTGTGACCTCGGCTACAGCAACTTCCTGCTAGACATGTCTCCAAAGGCAAGGGAAACAAAAGCAAAAATGAACTATTGGGACTTTTTATCATCAAGATAAAAAGCTTTTGCACAGCAAAGGAAACAGTTGACAAAAACAAAGGACAATTGACAAAATGGGAGAAGATATTTGTAAATGTCTTATCAGATAAAGGGCTAGTATCCAAAGTCTATAAAGAACTTATCAGACTCAACACCTAAAACACAAGTAATCCAGTGAAGAAATTGGCAGAAGACATGAACAGACATTTCTCCAAAGAAGACATCCAAATGGCCAACAGACACATGAAAAAATATTCAACATCACTTGGCATCAGGGAAAAACAAATCAAAACCACAATGAGAAGCCACATTCTCTTGTATATATCTCATCATTACAAGTGAGGATCTTTACAGCCCTCAAAAATTTCTGTTTTATATTAAACATTTTTACCAAGTTGTTTTACAAAACTTTTCATTGATAGTACTTACACATATCCATTTCAAACAATTAACACAGTGCTTTAGCTATAATGTAAAGGAGAAATAAATGTAATTCATTAAATATATATTTCAGTGTGTATGCTTGAGCATGATGCATTAGAACAGAGATTGGCAAATTATCATCTAGTAGCCAAAGATGGTCCACTGACTGTTTTTGTACCACTCAAAAGCTAAGAAGGCTTTGCATTTTAAGTAGTCAAAAAAATAAATAAATAAGAATATCTTATGACATGTGAAAATTAAATTAAATGGTAATTTCAATGTCTATAAAGTTTTATTGAAACACAGCCATGTCCACTTCTTTACATATTGTTTATGGCTGCTTTCTCACTATAGTGTCAGAGTTGAATAACTGTGACAGAGACCAATTAGCCTGCAAAACTTAAAATATTTCCTATGTGGCTCTTTACAGAAAAAGTTTGTTGACTGTTAATTTATGAACATAA